CAAATGTACATTGTATCATACAGTTTAGACCACAGTCCTCCTAAATCCAGACCAGGTCCAGATGAGTCCAGACCAGGTCCAGGTGAGTCCAGACCAGGTTCAACTGAGTCCAGGGCACCTGACTCCTCCTCTTCCTGACTCCTCCTAAGTCCTCCCCCTGACTTCTCCTCTTATGGTGCTTTCAGACCGGCAACGCTGAAACGCACGTTCTCTAGTTTTCAGACGCAGGGGTCTTCAGACCAGACGTCCTGGTGCACGCCGGAAGTAGCCGGCTCTGATGCTAACAGAGTTTAGCTAGCGGCTTCTTGTGTAAAGAAGTATGTGTTCACGGAGGTGACTTTATATAACAGCAGTATGTGTTCACGGAGGTGACTTTATATAACAGCAGTATGTGTTCACGGTGACTTTATATAACAGCAGTATGTGTTCACGGTGACTTTATATAACAGCAGTATGTGTTCACGGTGACTTTATATAACAGCAGTATGTGTTCACGGTGACTTTATATAACAGCAGTATGTGTTCACGGAGGTGACTTTATATAACAGCAGTATGTGTTCACGGAGGTGACTTTATATAACAGCAGTATGTGTTCACGGAGGTGACTTTATATAACAGCAGTATGTGTTCACGGTGACTTTATATAACAGCAGTATGTGTTCACGGAGGTGACTTTATATAACAGCAGTATGTGTTCACGGTGACTTTATATAACAGCAGTATGTGTTCACGGTGACTTTATATAACAGCAGTATGTGTTCACGGAGGTGACTTTATATAACAGCAGTATGTGTTCACGGAGGTGACTTTATATAACAGCAGTATGTGTTCACGGAGGTGACTTTATATAACAGCAGTATGTGTTCACGGAGGTGACTTTATATAACAGCAGTATGTGTTCACGGTGACTTTATATAACAGCAGTATGTGTTCACGGAGGTGACTTTATATAACAGCAGTATGTGTTCACGGAGGTGACTTTATATAACAGCAGTATGTGTTCACGGAGGAGACTTTATATAACAGCAGTATGTGTTCACGGAGGTGACTTTATATAACAGCAGTATGTGTTCACGGAGGTGACTTTATATAACAGCAGTATGTGTTCACGGTGACTTTATATAACAGCAGTATGTGTTCACGGAGGTGACTTTATATAACAGCAGTATGTGTTCACGGAGGTGACTTTATATAACAGCAGTATGTGTTCACGGAGGTGACTTTATATAACAGCAGTATGTGTTCACGGTGACTTTATATAACAGCAGTATGTGTTCACGGAGGTGACTTTATATAACAGCAGTATGTGTTCACGGAGGTGACTTTATATAACAGCAGTATGTGTTCACGGAGGTGACTTTATATAACAGCAGTATGTGTTCACGGAGGTGACTTTATATAACAGCAGTATGTGTTCACGGAGGAGACTTTATATAACAGCAGTGTGTGTTCACGGAGGTGACTTTATATAACAGCAGTATGTGTTCACGGAGGTGACTTTATATAAGTGCGAGTGTTGGGATTGTACCCTTCGCACTCGCACCCATCTTCGGGAACACATGAGGGGCGCCAGGTTGGAAGTGCGAGTGTTGGGAACATAGACTGTATATATTAACGGACAGAGTCACGCCTATCTCCGCCGTTCATAAGAGTTGGCCATGAAAAGTGCTTTCATGGAGCAATCCAAGATGGCCGCGAGTGGTCCCGCCCACAAGAAAATTGTGAAAAAACGCATCTGTGCATACGTCCGCCGGCGCAGCTCCGTTCATTTGAACGAGAGACTTCAGAAATTCCCTGCAAGTAAACTAGAGTGGACCAAAAAAATCACCCCCCTCAGCATTGACACACATGTGGAACTGAGCTTTGGGCCAAGAGACAACTTTTGGTCCATCCTGTCCATATAGGGTCTGCCAACGCTATATGTTAGCATTGGCTAATTCTACTTCTGGGTCCACCCCCATCGGCCCGGGGTGGTATTGCAAGCATGTCAGCGCACGTCCTTTTGGCCACTTTTGAGCAGGGACACTCCCCCATTGGTTGGGACTGTACCCTTCGCACTCACACCCATCATCGGGAACACATGAGGGGCGCCAGGTTGGAAGAGCGAGTGTTGGGACTGAGCCTAGTTTGGTTTCCATCCTCTAATGTCTGTTTCCTATTTACGCTGAAATCACAGAACGAGTGTTAGATGCAGGATGGACCTGAATCTAGACTTGGACCTTGGACTTGGACTTGGACTGGACTTGGACCTGGACTTGGACCTGGATATGAATCAAAACCCATCAAACACAATGAGAATGTGTGTGACTCCAATAAATAAATACAGTTCTGGAAGAACAGCTGTGGATCCTAACACCAACAAACCATGAGCAACAATGTACAGAAGGCACACAGCAATGCATCATGGGATCTGTAGTCTCGGTGTAGTCTCAGTGTAGTACCGGTGTATTCTCAGTGTAGTCTCAGTGTAGTCCCTGTGTAGTCTCAGTGTCGTCTCAGCGTAGTCTCAGTGTAGTCCCAGAAGGTGTAGTCTCAGTGTCGTCTCAGCGTAGTCTCAGTGTAGTCCCAGAAGGTGTAGTCTCAGTGTCGTCTCAGCGTAGTCTCAGTGTAGTCCCAGAAGGTGTAGTCTCAGTGTCGTCTCAGCGTAGTCTCAGTGTAGTCCCAGAAGGTGTAGTCTCAGTGTCGTCTCAGCGTAGTCTCAGTGTAGTCCCAGAAGGTGTAGTCTCAGTGTCGTCTCAGCGTAGTCTCAGTGTAGTCCCAGAAGGTGTAGTCTCAGTGTAGTCCCAGAAGGTGTAGTCTCAGTGTAGTCCCAGAAGGTGTAGTCTCAGTGTAGTCCCAGAAGGTGTAGTCTCAGTGTAGTCCCAGAAGGTGTAGTCTCAGTGTAGTCCCAGAAGGTGTAGTCTCAGTATCGTCTCAGCGTAATCTCAGTGTAGTCCCTGAAGGTGGAGTCTCAGTGTGGTCTCAGCGTAGTCTCAGTGTAGTCCCAGAAGGTGTAGTCTCAGTGTAGTCCCAGAAGGTGTAGTCTCAGTGTAGTCCCAGAAGGTGTAGTCTCAGAGTGGTCTCAGAGGGGGTAGTTATGCAGTTGACATGGTGGCGGCAGCAGAGAGCAGTCAGAGTTATTACATTATTTCCTGGACCTGGTCTTGGACTTGGACTTGGATATGAATCAAAACCAAAACCCGTCAAATACAATAAGAATGTGTGTGTTCTACCAGACTCCAATAAATAAATACAGTTCTGGACGTGTATCCTGAGCAACAATGTACAGAAGGCACACCGCAATGCATCATGGGAAGTGTAGTCTCAGTGTAATCCCAATGTAGTCTGTGTACTCTCGGTGTAGCCTCAGTGTAGACTCAGAGTAGTCCCAGAGGTTGTAGTCTTGGTGTAGTCCCAGAGGGTCTAGTATCAGATAGTGTAGTCTGAGTGTGGTCTCAGAGGGTGTAGTCCCAGTGTAGTCCCAGTGTAGTCTCAGAGGGTGTAGTCTCTGTGTAGTCTCTGTGTAGTCCCAGTGTAGTCCCAGTGTAGTCTCAGAGGGTGTAGTCTCTGTGTAGTCTCAGTGTAGTCCCAGTGTAGTTTCAGTGTAGTCTCAGTGGGAGTATTCTCAGAGGGTGTAGTCTCTGTGTAGTCTCAGAGGTTGTAGTCTCAGAGGGTGTAGTCTCAGAGGGTGTAGTCTCAGAGGGTGTAGTCTCTGTGTAGTCTCAGAGGTTGTAGTCTCAGAGGGTGTAGTCTCAGAGGGTGTAGTCTCAGAGGGTGTAGTCTCAGAGGGTGTAGTCTCTGTGTAGTCTCAGAGGTTGTAGTCTCAGAGGGTGTAGTCTCAGAGGGTGTAGTCTCAGAGGGTGTAGTCTCAGAGGGTGTAGTCTCTGTGTAGTCTCAGAGGTTGTAGTCTCAGAGGGTGTAGTCTCAGAGGGTGTAGTCTCAGAGGTTGTAGTCTCAGAGGTTGTAGTCTCAGAGGGTGTAGTCTCAGAGGGTGTAGTCTCAGAGGGTGTAGTCTCAGAGGGTGTAGTCTCTGTGTAGTCTCAGAGGTTGTAGTCTCAGAGGGTGTAGTCTCAGAGGGTGTAGTCTCAGAGGTTGTAGTCTCAGAGGTTGTAGTCTCAGAGGTTGTAGTCTCAGAGGGTGTAGTCTTCAGAGGGTGTAGTCTCAGAGGTTGTAGTCTCAGAGGTTGTAGTCTCAGAGGTTGTAGTCTCAGAGGTTGTAGTCTCAGAGGGTGTAGTCTCAGAGGGTGTAGTCTCAGAGGGTGTAGTCTCAGAGGGTGTAGTCTCAGAGGGTGTAGTCTCAGAGGTTGTAGTCTCAGAGGGTGTAGTCTCACAGAGTGTAGTTCTGCAGTTCACCTGGTGATGGCAGCAAAGAGCAGTTGGAGTTATTACATTACTTCAGACCTTCTACAGTTACTAATAAAATACTTTGATGTCACTCCAGACACATGTGGCTTCGTGTTCAAAGGCTACAGTTAAAGCTGGGGTACCTCACATAGTCCTCTTTTGCATACTTGTAAAAAGAAATCTGTAAGTCAATATTTGACTCTTTGGGCTGAGAGCTGATTAGCTGAGTGAAGGTGGTCCTCTCTTTGATCTAAAGAGGCCAAAGACACATGATGTGAAAGCTAATGATGGAAGGAGCTGTTTTAGAGACAGGACAGTGTAGTCTTCAGAGTGAGGCATCATGGGTAGTAGTAGTAGTAGTAATGTAATGTTTATTTATATACCGCCTTTTCACTGCACATCGGAGTCTCAAAGCGGTTTACAATTGTTATTTTTGGGAGTGGGGCCAGTACAGGACGCACATGCCAGAACTATTGTACATATTTTTAGTGGTAGGGGAAACCGGAGCACCCGGAGGAAACCTACGCAGACACGGGGAGAACATGCAAACTCCACTCAGAAAGGCCCTGGTCCGACCGGGATTCGAACCCAGGACCTTCTTGCTGAGAGGCGAGAGTGCTAACCACTCAGCCACCGTGCCGCCCTGTAGTGTAGTCTGTAGTGTAGTCTTCAGAGTGAGGCATCATGGGTAGTGTAGTCTTCAGAGTGAGGGATCCTGGGTAGTGTAGTCTTCAGCGTGAGGCATCATGGGTAGTGTAGTCTTCAGAGTGAGGCATCATGGGTACTGTAGTCTTCAGAGTGAGGCATCATGGGTAGTGTAGTCTTCAGAGTGAGGGATCCTGGGTAGTGTAGTCTTCAGCGTGAGGCATCATGGGTAGTGTAGTCTTCAGAGTGAGGCATCATGGGTACTGTAGTCTTCAGAGTGAGGCATCATGGGTAGTGTAGTCTTCAGAGTGAGGCATCATGGGTACTGTAATCTTCAGAGTGAGGCATCATGGGTAGTGTAGTCTTCAGAGTGAGGCATCATGGGTAGTGTAGTCTTCAGAGTGAGGCATCCTGGGTACTGTAGTCTTCAGAGTGAGGCATCATGGGTACTGTAGTCTTCAGAGTGAGGCATCATGGGTAGTGTAGTCTTCAGAGTGAGGCATCATGGGTAGTGTAGTCTTCAGAGTGAGGCATCATGGGTACTGTAGTCTTCAGAGTGAGGCATCATGGGTAGTGTAGTCTTCAGAGTGAGGGATCATGGCTAGTGTAGTCTTCAGAGTGAGGCATCATGGGTAGTGTAGTCTTCAGAGTGAGGGATCATGGGTAGTGTAGTCTTCAGAGTGAGGGATCATGGGTAGTGTAGTCGTCAGAGTGAGGGATCATGGGTAGTGTAGTCTTCAGAGTGAGGCATCATGGGTAGTGTAGCCTTCAGAGTGAGGCATCATGGGTAGTGTAGTCTCAGGACCACAGGCAGGAGCAGTCCGTGGGCTCCTGGATGTCGTAGTTCACCCAGGTGGCGTTGTTGCTGCAGTAGAGTTGCACCGTTCTCTTCTGTAGCCCGGTCTCGCGGCAGCACTTGCAGAATCGTGCGTATGTGTTGATGTTGTAGTTGTAGATGCTCGCTGAAGGACACTTCCCGTCACATGACACCACGTTCACCTGGAAGCAGAGACACAGATAACTTTTACCCTGGTTTCAACCCATTCACTCACCAGTGTCTGCTGTTAAAAGTGGTCTCAGCTACATCTACAATCTGAGCCTCAGCCTGGAGGAGGTCCCTGTCCTGTGGAAGACCGATACTGTAGGATCCCGGTTCCTAAAACAGCCCACGCAAAGGAACCGGCTCACTACAGACCAGTCGCACTGACCTCCCACCTGACTACAGACCAGTCGCACTGACCTCCCACCTGATGAAGACCATGGAGCGGCTCATCCTCACCCATCTCCGCTCTGTGGTCAGCCCCACCCTGGACCCGCTGCAGTTCGCCTACAGGCCCAACATCGGAGTAGAGGACGCCGTCATCTACTTACTGCAGCAGACGCTCTCCCACCTGGAGCCTGCAGGGGGCGCTGTGAGGGTCATGTTTTTGATTTCTCCAGTGTTTTTAACACCATCAGACCTCACTGCTGTGGGGGAAGATGGAGGACGCGGGAGTGGACAGTAGCCTCACTGCATGGACCATGGACTACCTCACTGCATGGACCATGGACTACCTCACTGCATGGACCATGGACTACCTCACTGCAGGACCATGGACTACCTCACTGCATGGACCATGGACTACCTCACTGCATGGACCATGGACTACCTCACTGCATGGACCATGGACTACCTCACTGCATGGACCATGGACTACCTCACTGCAGGACCATGGACTACCTCACTGCATGGACCATGGACTACCTCACTGCATGGACCATGGACTACCTCACTGCATGGACCATGGACTACCTCACTGCATGGACCATGGACTACCTCACTGCATGGACCATGGACTACCTCACTGCAGGACCATGGACTACCTCACTGCATGGACCATGGACTACCTCACTGCAGGACCATGGACTACCTCACTGCATGGACCATGGACTACCTCACTGCATGGACCATGGACTACCTCACTGCATGGACCATGGACTACCTCACTGCAGGACCATGGACTACCTCACTGCATGGACCATGGACTACCTCACTGCATGGACCATGGACTACCTCACTGCATGGACCATGGACTACCTCACTGCAGGACCATGGACTACCTCACTGCAGGACCATGGACTATCTCACTGCATGGACCATGGACTACCTCACTGCAGGACCATGGACTACCTCACTGCAGGACCATGGACTACCTCACTGCATGGACCATGGAGTACCTCACTGCAGGACCATGGACTACCTCACTGCATGGACCATGGACTACCTCACTGCAGGACCATGGGCTACCTCACTGCAGGACCATGGACTACCTCACTGCATGGACCATCAACTACCTCTTTAAGGCGGCAAGGAGCTGTTGAAGGTAGTCTTCCAGCTGTTTAAGGAGGTACAGAGCTGTTTAAGGCGGTACAGAGCTGTTTAAGGCGGTCTTCCAGCTGTTTAAGGCGGCACAGAGCTGTTTAAGGCGGTCTTCCAGCTGTTTAAGGTGGTACAGAGCTGTTTAAGGCGGTACATAGCTGTTGAGGTAGTCTTCCAGCTGTTTAAGGAGGTACAGAGCTGTTTAAGGCTCTTTAAGGCTGTTTAAAACCCGGACAGTTTTGTTGTGGTGCTTGGGGACTTTAACCAGGCTCATCTGAGTCGGGCTCTCCCCAAATACAGACAGCAAGTGACATGTGCTACTAGAGGGGGAAATATTCTAGATCACTGCTATTGTACCATCCGTGAGGCATACCATTCTGTCCAACGTGCTGCTCTGGGCAAGGGTGATCACCATCTCATCCATCTGATCCCTCGCTATAGGCAGAGATTGAAAATATCAAAACCTATAGTGCGTAGTTTCAGAGTGTGGTCCAGCGAGGCAAGTGAGAGACTATGTGCCTGGCTGGAGAATGCTGGCTGTGACCGGGACTTTGTTGTGTGGGCGGGGCCTGAGGCTGGAAACAACCTGGATGAATACACAGATACTGTGACATCATTTATCAGCCTCGGCGAGGAGGTCTGTGTCCCCCTCCGCCACAGGAAGATCTACAACAACGACAAGCCCTGGTTCTCAGCCCAGCTCAGAAGGCTGCGGTCAGAGAAGTAGGTGGCCAGGCGGAGCGACGACGTGGCCCTGTTTAGGCAAGCCAAATATGAGTTTGCCAAAGCGGTGAGGGAGGCGAAACACCGCTTCTCGGCGAAACTGCGGCGGCAGGTCTCTGAGGGGAACTCCTCCTCTGTCTGGAAAGGACTTAAAACCATCACCAACTACGGGCCCAGGTCCCCGCAGGCATCTGACAACCTTCCCCTCGCCAACGAGCTCAATGAGTTCTACTGCCGCTTTGAGAAAGATAGTTCCCCCCTGCCCCCCACCTCCACCCATCCCGGCCACAACCACTTTTCTCTTTCTCCCCCCCTCCCCTACCCCCTCTCACTGTCACAGAGAGAGAGGTCAAACTGTTGTTCAGGAGCCAGAACCCCCGGAAGGCGTCCGGCCCGGATTCTGTCTCCCCCTCCGCTCTGAAGCACTGCGCTGATCAGCTCGCCCCGGTGTTTACCAACATCTTTAACACCTCGCTGGAGCTTGGTCAGGTCCCCGCATGCTTCAAGGCCTCTACCATCATTCCCGTCCCCAAGAAGGCCAAGGTCACAGGCCTAAATGACTACAGACCTGTCGCCCTGACGTCTGTGGTCATGAAGGTCCTGGAGCGCCTTGTCCTGGCCCATCTGAAGCGAATCACTGATCCTGTGCTGGACCCGCTGCAGTTTGCGTACAGAGCCAATCGCTCCACGGAGGACGCCGTGAACATGGCTCTGTACTACACCCTTAAACATCTGGACACTGCCGGCTGCTATGCCAGGATCCTGTTCGTTGACTTCAGTTCGGCTTTTAATACCATCCTTCCACCCATCCTAGAGCACCAGCTGTCCCTGCTGCAAGTTCCTGCCCCCATGCGCAGATGGATTACGGACTTCTTGACAAACAGGTCCCAGCGGGTGAAGCTGGGGAAGAGCATTTCCAGCTCTAGGATCACCAACACCGGTTCCCCGCAGGGCTGTGTCCTGTCCCCACTACTGTTTTCCCTGTACACCAACAGCTGTGTCTCTCTCCACCCGTCGGTCAAGCTCCTCAAGTTTGCCGACGACACCACCTTGGTGGGCCTCATCGCCAAGGGGGATGAGTCGGCCTACAGGAGGGAGATCGAGCGGCTGCGTAACTGGTGCAGCAACAACAACTTGGAGCTGAATGCTCTGAAGACAGTGGAGATGGTGGTGGACTTTAGGAGGGACCCAACCCCGCCTCCTCCTGTCATGCTGGGTGGCACTCAGGTGGAATCTGTACAGTCCTGCAAGTTCCTGGGGATAATTATCTCCAGAGACCTCAAGTGGGAATCCAACATCACAGCCCTCCTGAGAAAAGCCCAGCAGAGGATGTACTTCCTTCGTCAGCTGCGGAAATACAGACTGTCGAGGGCCATGATGACCCAGTTTTACTCGGCATCATAGAGTCTATCCTCACTCACTCCATCATCACCTGGTTCCCCGCTGCAGCTGCGAAAGACCTGGTCATGCTGCAGCGGGTGATACGCTCTGCGGAGAGGGTGATTGGCCATCCCCTGGCCTCCCTTAAGTCCCTGCACGACTCCAGGGCACTGAGGAGGGCAAGAAAGATCATGGCTGACGCCTCCCACCCTGGTCACAGCCTCCTCACCCTGCTCCCCTCTGGGAGGAGGATGCGGCATCTGGGGGCTAAGACAGAGCGCTACATAAAACAGTTTTTTCCCCTCAGCGGCCAGGCTGCTCACTGACGCTGGTTTCCCTTCTTCCCTTGCCCCCTAGGAACAAGGACTGAACACTATGGCACTTTATTACATTATTCTATTTATATCTCTTGCACTTTTTTGTTAAATTATATGTGAAAAAAGATGAATGCACACTGTCATGTTGCCAAGTCAAATTCCTATGTGTTTTGCACAATGGTAAATAAAGTAATCTGAATCTGAATCTGAAGGCGGCACAGAGCTGTTTAAGGCGGTCTTCCAGCTGTTTAAGGCAGTACAGAGCTGTTTAAGGAGGTACAGAGCTGTTTAAGGCGGCACAGAGCTGTTTAAGGCGGTCTTCCAGCTGTTTAAGGTGGTACAGAGCTGTTTAAGGTGGTCTTCCAGCTGTTTAAGGCAGTACAGAGCTGTTTAAGGAGGTACAGAGCTGTTTAAGGCGGCACAGAGCTGTTTAAGGCGGTCTTCCAGCTGTTTAAGGTGGTACAGAGCTGTTTAAGGTGGTCTTCCAGCTGTTTAAGGTGGTACAGAGCTGTTTAAGGTGGTCTTCCAGCTGTTTAAGGCAGTACAGAGCTGTTTAAGGAGGTACAGAGCTGTTTAAGGCGGCACAGAGCTGTTTAAGGCGGTCTTCCAGCTGTTTAAGGTGGTACAGAGCTGTTTAAGGTGGTCTTCCAGCTGTTTAAGGTGGTACAGAGCTGTTTAAGGCGGTCTTCCAGCTGTTTAAGGCAGTACAGAGCTGTTTAAGGAGGTACAGAGCTGTTTAAGGCGGGACAGAGCTGTTTAAGGCGGTCTTCCAGCTGTTTAAGGTGGTACAGAGCTGTTTAAGGCGGTACAGAGCTAACTCACCGGCCGGTTGCTTCGGCAGCTGTTTTTCCTGATCGTCATACGCACAGTGACTTTTTGACACGACTTTCCGTCTTCTTTACCTGTTCACGACAAACACCATGACAAATGTTTCACTGCAGACTTTTAAACACTTCTGTAAATTAGTTTGGAGAAAGTCACACTACTCAAAAGCAACACAAAAGCAGCACAAAAGCAACACAAAAGCATGCACCACATCATCACTGCTGCAGAAACAGCTGAAAGCATCAAGCTTTAAGAAGCAGCTTTAGGTCAATATTATTATCATAATATTGTAATGGAATATTAGTTACTAACTGACCCGGGTTAGTTACCCTATCCTGGGGTAGTAACCCTAACCTGGGTTAGTTAGTAATCCTTACAGTTAGTTAGTAGCCCTAACCCGGGTCAGTTAGTTACCCTAACCTGGGTTAGTTAGTAACCTTATCTTTGGTTAGTTAGTAACCGAACCCAGGTTAGTTAGTAACCTTAACTTGGGTCACTTAGTAACCCTAACCCGGGTCAGTTAGTAACCCTAACCTGGGTTAGTTAGTAACCCTAACCCAGGTCAGTTAGTAACCCTAAACCAAGTCACTTGGTAACCCTAACCCAGGTCAGTTAGTAACCCTAACCCAGGTCACTTGGTAACCCTAACCCAGGTCAGTTAGTAACCCTAACCCAGGTCACTTGGTAACCCTAACCCATGTCAGTTAGTAACCCTAACCCATGTCAGTTAGTAACCCTAAACCAGGTTAGTTAGTAACCCTAAACCAGGTTAGTTGGTAACCTTACCGAGTTAGTTAGTAAACCTAACCCGGGTTAGTTAGTAACCCTATCTTCTAGGGTTAACTACACACATGCAGTCTAGAACTACACAGTACATTGTTGACGATCAACAATGTACTGCCCACAGTACTACAGCGGCGTCACCAGGGCGGGGCTTAGGCTGTGTGAGCGCTGGGGGCGGGGCTTAGGCTGTGTGAGCAATGGGGGCGGGGCTTAGGCTGTGTGAGCGCTGAGGGCGTGGTATGGACTAGGATGGGCGTGGTTTGGACTGAGAGGGCGGGGTTTGGATTGAGAGGGGCGTGGTTTGGACTGAGAGGGCGGGGTTTGGATTGAGAGGGGCGTGGTTTGGACTGAGAGGGCGGGGTTTGGATTGAGAGGGGCGTAGTGTTTGACAATCAGGACCAAGAAGGAAAAGGACGTTTTTTACCGGATTTGAAATAAGGGCGAGTAGTAATTTTAACTAATTTAAACGTGGGCAGAGTTAATACAATTAAGGGCGGAGTCAATATGATTAAGGGGCGGAGTTAATGCAATTAAGGGCGGAGTTTCAGTCTTCTTCAGTGTCAGGGTCAGAACCGTTCAAAGGTTTTAGTTTTACTTTTGGGTCTTTTCTCAGGTCTGGTTCTGCTTCTGGTCTCAGCTTGGGTCTGGTGGTTCGGGCAGTACATTGTCAATGATCAACAATGGACTTGCCTGGTCTGGTTCTAGTAATATTTTGGGTTTGGTGGTTCTGGTCTCAGTTTGGGTCATGGTTCTCGTTTGAGCTTTGGTCTTGTCCTGGCTCTATATTCAGTTTGGGTCATGGTTCTGGATCACATTGTGGATAACAGCAATGGGCTGTCCTTGTCCGATTGTGGGTCTGGTCCTGGTTCTGGTCTCAGCTTGGGCCTGGTCTGGTTGTGGGTCTGGTCCTGGTTCTGGTCTCAGCTTGGTCATGGTTCTGCCTGGCTGCGTACCTCGTTCACAGTTTGAGACGCTTGTGGGGGAGGCGGGGCTAACGGGGAAAGGCAAAAGAGCGAAGCCATTACCTGCGACACGACACATCAGCAACACATCAGCGTTCAACTACAGACCAGCAACCAGCTAGCAACCAGCTAGCAACCAGAGAGCAACCAGCGGCCAATCAGAAAAACAGACACCCTCAGGGGACCAATCAGAGCCTGCCGCCTTCAGGACAATCAGATTCACAATCACACGCTACAGCGCCCCCCTGTGGCTCCTGGGATACAGCAGCTACTACTCATACTGATAGTCCACTCAAATGGGATCACTTCAGAGCTAACACAGAGCTAACACAGAGCTAACACAGAGCTAACACAGAGCTAACACAGAGCTAACACAGAGCTAACACAGAGTGCTAACACGGAGAGCTAACACGGAGAGCTAACACGAAGAGCTAACACAGAGTGCTAACACGGAGAGCTAACACGGAGAGCTAACACGAAGAGCTAACACGGAGTGCTAACACGGAGAGCTAACACGGAGTGCTAACACGGAGAGCTAACACGGAGTGCTAACACGGAGAGCTAACACGGAGTGCTAACACGGAGAGCTAACAGGGAGAGCTAACACGGAGAGCTAACACGGAGAGCTAACACGAAGAGCTAACACGGAGTGCTAACACGGAGAGCTAACACGGAGTGCTAACACGGAGAGCTAACACGGAGTGCTAACACGGAGAGCTAACACGGAGAGCTAACACGAAGAGCTAACACGGAGTGCTAACACAGAGCTAACACAGAGCTAACACAGAGCTAACACAGAGCTAACACGGAGTGCTAACACGGAGAGCTAACACGGAGTGCTAACACGGAGTGCTAACACGAAGAGCTAACACGGAGTGCTAACACGGAGTGCTAACACGGAGCTAACACAGAGCTAACACAGAGCTAACACAGAGCTAACACAGAGCTAACACGGAGCTAACACGGAGCTAACACGGAGCCAACACGGAGCCAACACGGAGCTAACACAGAGCTAACACAGAGCTAACACAGAGCTAACACGGAGCTAACACGGAGCTAACACGGAGCTAACACGGAGAGCTAACACGGAGAGCTAACACGGAGTGCTAACACGGAGTGCTAACACGGAGAGCTAACACAGAGCTAACACGGAGTGCTAACACGGAGAGCTAACACGGAGTGCTAACACGGAGTGCTAACACGGAGTGCTAACACGGAGAGCTAACACGAAGAGCTAACACGGAGTGCTAACACGGAGAGCTAACACGAAGAGCTAACACGGAGTGCTAACACGGAGAGCTAACACGGAGTGCTAACACGGAGAGCTAACACGGAGTGCTAACACGGAGAGCTAACAGGGAGAGCTAACACGGAGAGCTAACAGGGAGAGCTAACACGGAGTGCTAACACGGAGAGCTAACACGGAGTGCTAACACGAAGAGCTAACACGGAGTGCTAACACGGAGAGCTAACACGGAGAGCTAACACGGAGTGCTAACAGGGAGAGCTAACACGGAGTGCTAACACGGAGTGCTAACACGGAGAGCTAACACGGAGAGCTAACACGAAGAGCTAACACGGAGTGCTAACACGGAGAGCTAACACGGAGTGCTAACACGGAGAGCTAACACGAAGAGCTAACACGGAGTGCTAACACGGAGAGCTAACACGGAGTGCTAACACGGAGAGCTAACACGGAGTGCTAACAGGGAGAGCTAACACGGAGTGCTAACACGGAGTGCTAACACGGAGAGCTAACACGGAGAGCTAACACGAAGAGCTAACACGGAGTGCTAACACGGAGAGCTAACACGGAGTGCTAACACGGAGAGCTAACACGAAGAGCTAACACGGAGTGCTAACACGGAGAGCTAACACGGAGTGCTAACACGGAGAGCTAACACGGAGTGCTAACAGGGAGAGCTAACACGGAGTGCTAACACGGAGTGCTAACACGGAGAGCTAACACGGAGAGCTAACACGAAGAGCTAACACGGAGTGCTAACACGGAGTGCTAACACGGAGAGCTAACACGGAGAGCTAACAGGGAGAGCTAACAGGGAGAGCTAACACGAAGAGCTAACACGGAGTGCTAACACGGAGAGCTAACAGGGAGAGCTAACAGGGAGAGCTAACACGGAGTGCTAACACGGAGTGCTAACACGGAGAGCTAACAGGGAGAGCTAACACGGAGTGCTAACACGGAGAGCTAACACGAAGAGCTAACACGGAGTGCTAACACGGAGAGCTAACACGGAGTGCTAACACGGAGAGCTAACACGAAGAGCTAACACGGAGTGCTAACACGGAGAGCTAACACGGAGTGCTAACACGGAGTGCTAACACGGAGTGCTAACACGGAGTGCTAACACGGAGAGCTAACACGGAGTGCTAACACGGAGAGCTAACACGGAGAGCTAACACGGAGTGCTAACACGGAGAGCTAACACAAGTGCTAACACGGAGAGCTAACACGGAGAGCTAACAGAGAGAGCTAACACGGAGAGCTAACACGGACAGCTAACAGGGAGAGCTAACACGGAGAGCTAACAGGGAGAGCTAACACGGAGAGCTAACACGGAGAGCTAACAGGGAGAGCTAACACGGAGAGCTAACAGGGAGAGCTAACACGGAGAGCTAACACGGAGTGCTAACACGGAGAGCTAACAGGGAGAGCTAACACGGAGAGCTAACAGGGAGAGCTAACACGGAGAGCTAACACGGAGAGCTAACAGGGAGAGCTAACACGGAGAGCTAACAGGGAGAGCTAACACGGAGAGCTAACAGGGAGAGCTAACACGGAGAGCTAACACGAGAGCTAACACGGAGAGCTAACAGGGAGAGCTAACAGGGAGAGCTAACAGGGAGAGCTAACACGGAGAGCTAACAGGAGAGCTAACACGGAGAGCTAACAGGGAGAGCTAACACGGAGAGCTAACAGGGAGAGCTAACACGGAGAGCTAACACGGAGTGCTAACACGGAGAGCTAACAGGGAGAGCTAACACGGAGAGCTAACAGGGAGAGCTAACACGGAGAGCTAACACGGAGAGCTAACACGGAGAGCTAACAGGGAGAGCTAACAGGGAGAGCTAACAGGGAGAGTTAACACGGAGAGCTAACAGGGAGAGCTAACACGGAGAGCTAACACGGAGAGCTAACACGGAGTGCTAACACGGAGTGCTAACACGGAGAGCTAACAGGGAGAGCTAACAGGGAGAGCTAACAGGGAGAGCTAACACGGAGAGCTAACACGGAGAGCTAACAGGGAGAGCTAACAGGGAGAGCTAACAGGGAGAGCTAACACGGAGAGCTAACAGGGAGAGCTAACACGGAGAGCTAACACGGAGAGCTAACAGGGAGAGCTAACAGGGAGAGCTAACAGGGAGAGCTAACACGGAGAGCTAACAGGGAGAGCTAACACGGAGAGCTAACAGGGAGAGCTAACACGGAGAGCTAACAGGGAGAGCTAACACGGAGAGCTAACACGGAGTGCTAACACGGAGAGCTAACAGGGAGAGCTAACACGGAGAGCTAACAGGGAGAGCTAACACGGAGAGCTAACACGGAGAGCTAACACGGAGAGCTAACAGGGAGAGCTAACAGGGAGAGCTAACAGGGAGAGCTAACACGGAGAGCTAACAGGGAGAGCTAACACGGAGAGCTAACACGGAGAGCTAACACGGAGAGCTAACACGGAGTGCTAACACGGAGTGCTAACACGGAGAGCTAACAGGGAGAGCTAACAGGGAGAGCTAACAGGGAGAGCTAACAGGGAGAGCTAACACGGAGAGCTAACACGGAGAGCTAACAGGGAGAGCTAACAGGGAGAGCTAACACGGAGAGCTAACACGGAGAGCTAACAGGGAGAGCTAACAGGGAGAGCTAACAGGGAGAGCTAACAGGGACAGGGGAATCTCTGACTTGTATGAACATGGTGCACTGTGTAAGCAGAAAGCACAGCTGCCTCAGGACAGCTCTAAATGTGACTGAGCTGGTTCTTAAAGCCTCAGTCTCCAACTTTTACAACCGTCTAAACCTAACCCTTCTATTAAACATCAGGGTTAGGGTGACCCCTTAACCCTGAGGGTGACCCCTTAACCCTGAGGGTGACCCCTTAACCCTGAGGGTGACCCCTTAACCCTGAGGGTAATTTCCAACACAGGGTCAGGTTGACTGTAGAAACAGGAACACAGGCTTTTACAGCTGCACAGGGCCATGGCTCTGATTGGTCCATTTGGGGGGGTGTGTCATTGTGCTATAATACTGTTTTTCTATTGGCTCTCTACATTCTGGTGTAAGAGAGGAGACATGTGATGGACACATGTCATAGCTACAGTGCTGTTACAAAGCTAACAAAGCTAACAATGCTAACGATGCTAACAATGCTAACTATGCTAACTATGCTAACTATGCTAACAGGTACTCACATGTTTTACAGCAGCTGTCCATGTAACTCACCACATGTCCTCCATTCTGAAACAACAGGAGGCGTCAGTACAGGACCTCCTCCTCCTCCAGGAGGCGTCAGTACAGGACCTCCTCCTCCTCCAGGAGGCGTCAGTACAGGACCTCCTCCTCCTCCAGGAGGCGTCAGTACAGGACCTCCTCCTCCTCTAGGAGGCGTCAGTACAGGACCTCCTCCTCCAGGAGGCGTCAGTACAGGACCTCCTCCTCCAGGAGGTGTCAGTACAGGACCTCCTCCAGGAGGTGTCAGTACAGGACCTCCTCCAGGAGGCGTCACTAGAGGACCTCCTCCAGGAGGCGTCACTACAGGACCTCCTCCAGGAGGCGTCACTAGAGGACCTCCTCCAGGAGGCGTCACTAGAGGACCTCCTCCAGGAGGCATCAGTACAGGACCTCCTCCAGGAGGCATCAGTACAGGACCTCCTCCAGGAGGCGTCACTACAGGACCTCCTCCAGGAGGCATCAGTACAGGACCTCCTCCAGGAGGCGTCACTACAGGACCTCCTCCAGGAGGTGTCACTACTCTTCCACACTCCCCGTTACTCCCCCTCACTCCTCCACACCTCCTCACTCCCCCCCACTCTTCCACACTCCTCCTCACTCCCCCTCACTCCTCCACACCTCCTCACTCCCCCTCACTCCTCCACACCTCCTCACTCCCCCTCACTCCTCCACACCTCCTCACTCCCCCTCACTCCTCCTCACTCCTCCACTCCCCCTCACTCTTCCACACTCCTCCTCACTCCCCCTCACTCCTCCACCCCCTCCCCCCCCCCACCCCCCCCCCCCCCCCCCCCCCCCCCCCCCCCCCCCCCCCCCCCCCCCCCCCCCCCCCCCCCCCCCCCCCCCCCCCCCCCCCCCCCCCCCCCCCCCCCCCCCCCCCCCCCCCCCCCCCCCCCCCCCCCCCCCCCCCCCCCCCCCCCCCCCCCCCCCCCCCCCCCCCCCCCCCCCCCCCCCCCCCCCCCCCCCCCCCCCCCCCCCCCCCCCCCCCCCCCCCCCCCCCCCCCCCCCCCCCCCCCCCCCCCCCCCCCCCCCCCCCCCCCCCCCCCCCCCCCCCCCCCCCCCCCCCCCCCCCCCCCCCCCCCCCCCCCCCCCCCCCCCCCCCCCCCCCCCCCCCCCCCCCCCCCCCCCCCCCCCCCCCCCCCCCCCCCCCCCCCCCCCCCCCCCCCCCCCCCCCCCCCCCCCCCCCCCCCCCCCCCCCCCCCCCCCCCCCCCCCCCCCCCCCCCCCCCCCCCCCCCCCCCCCCCCCCCCCCCCCCCCCCCCCCCCCCTCCCCCCCCCCCCCCCCCCCCCCCCCCCCCCCCCCCCCCCCCCCCCCCCCCCCCCCCCCCCCCCCCCCCCCCCCCCCCCCCCCCCCCCCCCCCCCCCCCCCCCCCCCCCCCCCCCCCCCCCCCCCCCCCCCCCCCCCCCCCCCCCCCCCCCCCCCCCCCCCCCCCCCCCCCCCCCCCCCCCCCCCCCCCCCCCCCCCCCCCCCCCCCCCCCCCCCCCCCCCCCCCCCCCCCCCCCCCCCCCCCCCCCCCCCCCCCCCCCCCCCCCCCCCCCCCCCCCCCCCCCCCCCCCCCCCCCCCCCCCCCCCCCCCCCCCCCCCCCCCCCCCCCCCCCCCCCCCCCCCCCCAAAACAAAAGCAAAAACACGTACAGGGATTGAAAAGGGGTTGGAGGAAGCAAAATGCTTATATTAATCCAACCCCCCTCACCCAGACTCACAGGACAATCAATAAGACGGAAACAATACCATGCTGGGTAAAAACACATAATACAAATGTTTACTGTACAGTACATACAGTAAGAACAATACAACAGCTACCACCAATGGTATGGGACAAGACAACTCACTCACACTCACACACACACACACTCACACACACAGGCCAAAACCCTCCCTGACCATACACCTCTCTCCTCCAACTGCTCAGTGCTGAGGGCATCAATCTCTTACCTCCTTGTACTTCTTCATTATTTCTTTTTTATAAACTCTTTTAAATTGAATCAGGTTTGGACACGTTTTAATTTCATCAGATAGACTGTTCCACAGAGTAACTCCACACACGGAGATACACATTGATTTTAAAGTCGTTCTAAATTTAGGTAAGTATAGTTGTTTGTTTCCTCTTAGTTGATACTGATGGTGAGCATCTCTATCATGGAATAGTGTTTGCAAACTCTGTGGGAGGGAGTTTTGCGATGCCCTAAACATTATTTGAGCAGTTTTAAATTGAATCAAGTCTAGAAGTTTGAGTTGTCTCAAGATCTAAAAATAATGGGTGTGAATGATATCTATAGTGAACATTTGATACAATCCTAATAGCCTTCTTTTGCAAAGTGACTAAAGGCTGTAAGTGAGACTTGTAACAGTTTCCCCAAACTTCAATACAATAAAATAAATATGACATAATGAATGAATGATACAACAGGAGTAGGGCATTTGTGTTCAGTAGCGGACTCGCTCGCTTCATCATTCCGACACATTTAGCAACCTTTGTTCTCAGGTAACTTATGTGGGGTTTCCAATTGGTTTTTTTCATCTATTATAACTCCTAAGAAGGCATTTTGTTTGACTTTCTCAATTGGTGTATCATCAATTATTATTCTGACTGGAATATTACTATTACGGTTGCCAAAGAGCATAATTTTGGTCTTTTTTAAATTTAGTGATAATTTATTACTATTGAACCATGTTTTTACTTTGTTCAATTCCACAGTTACTGTAGACAAAAGTTGCTCCAAATCGTCACCTGGACATATAATAGTTGTGTCATCAGCAAAGAGAATGAATTTCATCAACTTTGATATTTTGCATATTTCATTAATGTACAATATAAATAAAGTGGGTCCCAATATTGAACCTTGTGGTACTCCACAGGTTATGTTCCTATAACTCGATTTGTGTTGGTCAATCTGGACAATCTGCTGTCTCTCTCTCAGGTAGCTCTGCAACCATTTATTTGCCAATCCCCTGATACCATAGGCCTCCAGTTTGTTAATCAAGATATCATAATCGATGGTATCGAACGCCTTTTGAAGATCAATGAAAATTCCGATTACAAATTTATTTTTTTCAATTCCATTTGTTATCTCCTCAACTAAGTCAATAAGAGCAAGTGATGTAGATCTATTTTGCCTAAACCCATACTGACTATCAGACAATAAATTATGTCTTTCAATAAACCCACGGAGTCTTGTATCAAATAATTTTTCTAATATTTTGGAAAACTGAGGCAGAAGGGAGATTGGCCGATAATTGGTGAAGCTGTGTTTGTCTCCGGATTTGAATATGGGGATTACTTTTGCAGTTTTCATTTGTGATGGAAAGTCACCAAGCTGGAAAGATAAGTTACAAATGTGTGTAAATGGTTCAACAATTTCTTCAGCAACACTGCGTACTGTTTTCATGTCAATGTCGTTTATGTCTTGTGATGTTTTGTTTTTGCATTTTCTGATCAAATTCAGAACTTCCTTCTCGTTTGTGGGAGTGAGGAACATGGAGTTAAAGTTTGTTTCAATGAGCCCCTTTGACTGTTCGTTGGTAGAAGGGATTTTTTTGGCCAGTTCTGGTCCAACATTAACAAAGAAGTTATTAAAACCATCAGCAATCATTGTTTTGTCCCTTATAATTGTATCGTTCTCCACAAAGTACTCTGGATAACTAGGGCTGCTAGAACCACGACCAATAATGGTGTTCAACACTTTCCAAATTCCTTTAATATCATTCTTCTTTTTAATTAATAAATCATTATAATATTCTGTTCTACTTACTCCAATATGCTGGTTAATTTGTTTTTGTATTGTTTATACCTTTGTTCAGTCTCTATAGTTCTGTGTCTAAGGAATAGTCTGTACAGGTAATTTTTCTTTTTACAAGAGTTGGCAAGCCCTTTTGATATCCAGGGAGTTTTTGTGTAGCGACTTGTTGTGCACTTTTTGGTTGGACAGTATTTGTCGTACAGTGTAGCAAACATTTCCAGAAACAAGTTGTAAGCTGTATTTACATCAGACATTTGGTAAATGGGTTCCCAGTTCTGACTGGCCAAATCAATTTTCAGATCTATTATTGATTGTTGTGATATGATTCTACGATAGCTGTCACTTTTAACATGTTTAGGTATTTTACAGTCGATGTCATAAACCATGAAGACTGGTAGGTGGTCACTGACATCACTAACCAGCAAACCACTAGTAACACTGGCGTCTAAAATGTTGCAAAAAATGTTATCAATAAGGGTAGCACTGTGTGTTGTGACTCTAGTGGGTCTGGTGATCAGCGGGTACAAGCCCATGGAAAACATTGTGTCTATGAATTCATCTGTATGTTTATTTTTTTGGGGATTTAATAGATTAATATTAAAGTCACCACATATGATATATTTTTTATTTTTATAACTAAATATTTTTTCCATCCATTCCCTGAAAGCCTTCAGGTCAGATCCTGGTGTCCTGTAAACACAACTTACAATAACGTGTTTCTTTTTTGGCAGAGCCAATTCAATAGTAATGCATTCAAAAAGGTGGTCCACTGCTAAAGACATATTTTCTACAATGCTACAAGTAATATTTGTGTCTATATATAAAGCCACTCCTCCTCCTCTTTTATCTCGTCGGTTTGTGCAGAACATTTCATACCCTTCCAATTCAAAGTGGCTACCCTTGTCCACATCCATCCATGTCTCTGAAATTGCTATAATATTAAACGGTGATTTAAACTGACTCAAGTAGTCTCGGATCCCTTCAAAGTTAGAATATAAACTTCTACTGTTAAAATGCACTAGAGAGATATTTTTATCTTGTGTAAATTTGTTTTCAAATGCAACATCAGTATAATATAAGCAGTCATTATTCATATTAGGAAGGAAATTACTATCTGGGTCAATTTCGATCATGTTTTGTGATTTATATTTTATACTGTCTGAGAAATTGATCATAGTTTCTAAATTATGAGAGTTCATGCTCAAGTCATCCTCCTCGGTTTCAGACGAGGCATTGCTCTCAGAACTATACATCTATTATCATTTCAGAAACATGAATGGATGGAGAGGGTGTATGGTCAGAGAGTCTAGGCCCCAGACACGCGCAACAGACAACCACACCGCAACATTCAAACAAGCACATACACAAGCTCTCACTCATACAGACGCACACACACACAAAAACACACTCACACGCTGCAGGCAATGAAATAGAAATAAACATGAGAAAAATGAAAAATCATAACCTTTACCCCCTCAGAATCATGCCCCAAAGAAAAAGAAAAAAATATATATATGAAGAACTAAGTTCTACCATTGCACATCAACATTTACTTGTGTTACCTGAACACGGGCCTGCCTACATACAGGCATATATTTTATAAATAATATTTGCAAAAAACACCAATACAAAAAGGGGCGTGGATTTACAGGAGCAAACCTATTTTTTTTGCAGTCAGAAAAAAGAAAAAGAAAAGAGAAAGGACTGCTTATACGCGACCTAGTGACGTCATCGCGCTTGTATGTAAACATGATAGAGTCAAATGAATGAACCTTACCGATCAGAGCGGTCTCTATTTGGACTTGGAAGTTTCGTAGTCCGAGAGAAACTTTTCAGCAGCGGCCGGGTTTTCAAAAAGCTGCTGACCTACGGAGCTGTTGGTCAACTTGATCGTCGCGGGGTAGAGCAGGAAGGCTTCGAATCCCATGGTTCGGGCTCTGTTCATCAGTGCATAGCAGGGGCGCCTTTTCTTGGCTGTGATGTCGCTGAAGTCCGGGGCAAAGCGGATAGGCTGTCCAGCTACTCGCACCGTGCTTCTCCTGGACTCGTTGAGAACACGATCACGATCCGAAAAGCGGAGAAACTTCACTATCATTACTCTGGGCTTGGGTGAGGAAGGTCGCCATGTTCCGATCCTATGGGCTCTCATTAACTCCAGCGAACTCTCCGCTAACCCAGGGAACCACTTTGGAAGTGATGCAGTGAGGTAAGCCACAGCATTGTTCTTTTCCTCGCCTTCTTTGATATTCACAATACGCAAGTTATCACGTCTGCTGCGGTCCTCCAGCGAGACGAGTTTGCTCTCCAATTGTGACAACGCGTCGCCAAATCCAGAAAGGGTGTCCTCGTTTTTGTTGACACGGGTCTGCATGGCGGAAATATCCGTACGTTGTTTCTCAATATCTTGTGCATGCTTGTTTAAAGTCTCTTGTATTGTGGTGAGCTGGTGCTCTAAACGCTGGAAGTGTTCTTTCGATTGTTCCTGAGCTTTGGTAAAAAACTTATTGAGGGTAGCTTCCAGGTGCTCCGCCGTGAGCTGGCTCGAGGACATTTCTTCTTCCATTTGGCTCTGTCCTCGGTTTTTTGTCTTTGAGCGTGTACCAGACATGCAGACAACGATAATATGCAACTTTAGATATATTGCTAGAGGTTTGATTTCAAAGGTTTGCTCGATCAATGAACAGGGAGTGTTAGGCAAACAGACCTCACTCCGCCATCTTGGAGATCAGATTCAGATTCATATACAAACTGAAACCACTACTACTCATTCTGTGTCTCTTATTCACCCGCTTTGGCTCCTGTAGGCGAACCTGGTCTGAAAGCCTGCTCTCTATCTTCGGCCCAGTCAGATCCTTAGCCCAAGGCGTTACACACACATGACTCCCACACACACACATGACTCACACACACACATGACACACACACACATACTGTATGACACACACACACGCACATATGACACACACACACAGGTCCAAGACAATCACATGCAGCAGAACCATAAGTGAGGGGGGTCAGCGTTAGACTTTTGTGGATATGAGTCGTACAATACCATCCTCCTCCTCCAGAGGGCGCTGCAGCACCAGCACAGGGCTCAGGGTCAGGGAGAAGAACAGAGGTCTCCAGAACAGTTAGTGATGTCACACAACACCAGCGGCCAGGGGGAGGAGAGGGGGAGGACAGGAGGAGGTGCACTCACTGTGGGATGGAGGTGCAGGGGGAGGAGAGGAGGAGGTACACTCACTGTGGGATGGAGGTGCAGGGGGAGGAGAGGAGGAGGTGCACTCACTGTGGGATGGAGGTGCAGGAGGAGGAGAGGAGGAGGTACACTCACTGTGGGATGGAGGTGCAGGAGGAGGAGAGGAGGAGGTGCACTCACTGTGGGATGGAGGTGCAGGGGGAGGACAGGAGGAGGTGCACTCACTGTGGGATGGAGGTGCAGGGGGAGGAGAGGAGGAGGTGCACTCACTGTGGGATGGAGGTGCAGGAGGAGGAGAGGAGGAGGTACACTCACTGTGGGATGGAGGTGCAGGGGGAGGAGAGGAGGAGGTGCACTCACTGTGGGATGGAGGTGCAGGGGGAGGAGAGGAGGAGGTGCACTCACTGTGGGATGGAGGTGCAGGAGGAGGAGAGGAGGAGGTACACTCACTGTAAGATGGAGGTGCAGGGGGAGGAGAGGAGGAGGGTGCACTCACTGTGGGATGGAGGTGCAGGGGGAGGAGAGGAGGAGGTGCACTCACTGTGGGATGGAGGTGCAGGGGGAGGAGAGGAGGAGGTGCACTCACTGTGGGATGGAGGTGCAGGGGAGGAGAGGAGGAGGTGCACTCACTGTGGGATGGAGGTGCAGGAGGAGGAGAGGAGGAGGTGCACTCACTGTGGGATGGAGGTGCAGGAGGAGGAGGAGAGGAGGAGGTGCACTCACTGTGGGATGGAGGTGCAGGGGGAGGAGAGGAGGAGGTGCACTCACTGTGGGATGGAGGTGCAGGGGGAGGAGAGGAGGAGGTACACTCACTGTGGGATGGAGGTGCAGGGGGAGGAGAGGAGGAGGTGCACTCACTGTGGGATGGAGGTGCAGGAGGAGGAGAGGAGGAGGTACACTCACTGTGGGATGGAGGTGCAGGAGGAGGAGAGGAGGAGGTGCACTCACGTGTGGGATGGAGGTGCAGGGGGAGGACAGGAGGAGGTGCACTCACTGTGGGATGGAGGTGCAGGGGGAGGAGAGGAGGAGGTGCACTCACTGTGGGATGGAGGTGCAGGGGGAGGAGAGGAGGAGGTGCACTCACTGTGGGATGGAGGTGCAGGGGGAGGAGAGGAGGAGGTACACTCACTGTGGGATGGAGGTGCAGGGGGAGGAGAGGAGGAGGTGCACTCACTGTGGGATGGAGGTGCAGGAGGAGGAGAGGAGGAGGTACACTCACTGTGGGATGGAGGTGCAGGAGGAGGAGAGGAGGAGGTGCACTCACTGTGGGATGGAGGTGCAGGGGGAGGACAGGAGGAGGTGCACTCACTGTGGGATGGAGGTGCAGGGGGAGGAGAGGAGGAGGTGCACTCACTGTGGGATGGAGGTGCAGGAGGAGGAGAGGAGGAGGTACACTCACTGTGGGATGGAGGTGCAGGGGGAGGAGAGGAGGAGGTGCACTCACTGTGGGATGGAGGTGCAGGGGGAGGAGAGGAGGAGGTGCACTCACTGTGGGATGGAGGTGCAGGAGGAGGAGAGGAGGAGGTACACTCACTGTAAGATGGAGGTGCAGGGGGAGGAGAGGAGGAGGTGCACTCACTGTGGGATGGAGGTGCAGGGGGAGGAGAGGAGGAGGTGCACTCACTGTGGGATGGAGGTGCAGGGGGAGGAGAGGAGGAGGTGCACTCACTGTGGGATGGAGGTGCAGGGGGAGGAGAGGAGGAGGTGCACTCACTGTGGGATGGAGGTGCAGGAGGAGGAGAGGAGGAGGTGCACTCACTGTGGGATGGAGGTGCAGGAGGAGGAGAGGAGGAGGTGCACTCACTGTGGGATGGAGGTGCAGGGGGAGGAGAGGAGGAGGTGCACTCACTGTGGGATGGAGGTGCAGGGGGAGGAGAGGAGGAGGTACACTCACTGTGGGATGGAGGTGCAGGAGGAGGAGAGGAGGAGGTGCACTCACTGTGGGATGGAGGTGCAGGAGGAGGAGAGGAGGAGGTGCACTCACTGTGGGATGGAGGTGCAGGAGGAGGAGAGGAGGAGGTGCACTCACTGTGGGATGGAGGTGCAGGGGGAGGAGAGGAGGAGGTACACTCACTGTGGGATGGAGGTGCAGGGGGAGGAGAGGAGGAGGTACACTCACTGTGGGATGGAGGTGCAGGGGGAGGAGAGGAGGAGGTGCACTCACTGTGGGATGGAGGTGCAGGCCTCTGCTCTGGGGTCGCTGCAGGTTTTAAAACACGGCACTGAACATGAGTCGTATCTCCACTGACACTGAGGACCCACAGAGGCGTCCGCACTGGAGCCTGCACCAAAGACAGAGGACCATGTGAGGACCATGTGAGATCAGACACCAAACACATGTGAGGACCATGTGAGATCAGAGCCACCAAACACATGTGGGGACCATGTGAGATCAGAGCCACCAAACACATGTGGGGACCATGTGAGATCAGAGCCACCAAACACATGTGGGGACCATGTGAGATCAGAGCCACCAAACACATGTGGGGACCATGTGAGATCAGAGCCACCAAACACATTTGGGGACCATGTAGGGACCATGTGACCATATATAGCGCTTTTTGGACACTTAAAGACACTTCACATTATTATTCTCTCTCTCCAAACACGGTGGTGATAAACTACTGTAGCCACAGCTGCCCTGGGGCACACTGACAGAAGCGAGGCAACCAGTCTGTGCCATCGGCCCCTCCCACCACCACCAACCACTCACACACACACCAGACTCATTCTAATGTGGGGGAAGTGTCTTGCCCAAGGACACAACCACAGTTTGGCACTTTACAGCCGCAGCCGCCCCACTGTGGCACCTGCTGTTCCCAGAGGTTAAGAGTCTTGCCCAAGGACACAACGACAGCAGACAGTGGGAGTTGATGGAGAAAGTCTTGTGGTGGACTCGAACCCACAACCTTCAGACTCAAAGGCCAATGCTCTACCAGCGTAGCTGTCTGTGTGTGTGAGTGTGTCTGTGTGTGAGTGTGTCTGTGTGTGAGTGTGTCTGTGTGTGAGTGTGTCTGTGTGTGAGTGTGTCTGTGTGTGTGTGTGTCTGTGTGTGAGTGTGTCTGTGTGTGAGTGTGTCTGTGTGTGAGTGTGTCTGTGTGTGTGTGTGTCTGTGTGTGAGTGTGTCTGTGTGTGAGTGTGTCTGTGTGTGAGTGTGTCTGTGTGTGTGAGTGTGTCTGTGTGTGAGTGTGTCTGTGTGTGAGTGTGTCTGTGTGTGAGTGTGTCTGTGTGTGAGTGTGTCTGTGTGTGTGAGTGTGTCTGTGTGTGTGTGTGTGTGTCTGTGTGTGAGTGTGTCTGTGTGTGAGTGTGTCTGTGTGTGAGTGTGTCTGTGTGTGAGTGTGTCTGTGTGTGAGTGTGTCTGTGTGTGAGTGTGTCTGTGTGTGAGTGTGTCTGTGTGTGTGAGTGTGTCTGTGTGTGAGTGTGTCTGTGTGTGAGTGTGTCTGTGTGTGAGTGTGTCTGTGTGTGAGTGTGTCTGTGTGTGAGTGTGTCTGTGTGTGAGTGTGTCTGTGTGTGTGAGTGTGTCTGTGTGTGTGAGTGTGTCTGTGTGTGAGTGTGTCTGTGTGTGAGTGTGTCTGTGTGAGTGTGTCTGTGTGTGTGAGTGTGTCTGTGTGTGAGTGTGTCTGTGTGTGTGAGTGTGTCTGTGTGTGAGTGTGTCTGTGTGTGAGTGTGTCTGTGTGTGAGTGTGTCTGTGTGTGAGTGTGTCTGTGTGTGTGTGTGTCTGTGTGTGACATCACCTGTTAGCCTGAATAGCGTAGCTTTGCGGTAGCTGTCCGTGTGCCTGTAGCGTAGCAGGCGCAGCAGGTGTGTGACGTGAAGGAAGAACCCGGGTTTGACCTGAGCTTCCAGAGACACAAACCCTGGGATCCAGGTGTCACGGTGCAGCACGAACGTGGCGGCGTCCCAGAATGCACTGCTCTCTTGCCACTTCTCCAGGCGCACCTCGCCGCTCGGACTCGCAAACAGGAAGTAGTTTGGGCGAGCGGCGGCTTCAAACGAGACGCAGGATGAGTCTGTGGAAAGAAACGACCAATCAGAATCACTGATACTAACGAGTGTGTGTCTGTGTGTGTGTGTCTAAGTGTGTGTGTCTGTGTGTGTGTGTGTGTGTGTCTAAGTGTGTGTGTCTGTGTGTGTGTGTGTCTGTGTGTGTGTGTGTGTGTATGATGTGTGTGTGTGTGCACTTGTTTTCAACTCCTGGTGGGTTCCATAACCTGAGATTCCACTCACGTCATGGGGACTGGTTTTACGTGGTGGGGCCCGAACACCGGACCCCACTGGTCCAAGCTTAATAATCAATGGGTAATGCTTTTCTAACGGTCCTTATGCAGTCTCTGTAAAAATATGGAAAGGACCCCTGGAGGTTTACTTTCCTGAAAAAAGTGTGTTATGTGTCGGAACCCTGGTGGTGGGTTGCGGGATATCAAGGAGGGGCACACTGGGGCAATTTCAGTCCAGCAGGCTGGAGCCAATCATGGAGCAGCACAACAGAGGCTGGAGCCAATCATGGAGCAGCACAACAGAGGCTGGAGCCAATCATGGAGCAGCACAACAGAGGCTGGAGCCAATCATGGAGCAGCACAACAGAGGAAATCAGGTGTCAGGCTAGAAAAAGGTGCAAGTGGGTGGTTCATTAGGCTGCAAGAAATCATGGAGGAGCACACTGAAGCGCACGCTTACAAACCACTGGTAAGTGCTGACTACAAGTCATGACTTCAAATTGTTATATAGAATGATTACAAATTATTTGTTGTTTGTGCAGCTTAGTCAAGAGTCCCTAATTGATGAAGTCGACTCAGATTCTGACGATTTAACTGTCAAGAAGAAACCTGTAAAAAAGTATGGAAAAAGAAAAATCAAAAACACTCGGAAAGTGACGAACCAAAGGCAAATAAGATTGTTATCATGCAGCTGCAAAAGAAGAAAAATGGGGGGCGAGTTTACAGCAAGAGACACTTCTGCCTCTACTGTTCAATGTCCTGTCACAAAATGTCCCGTCATTTGACTAGAAAACATGGAAATGAAAGTGACGTAGCCAGAGCATTGGCTCTACCTGTGAAATCTAAAGCACGTAAACTTCAGTTTGATTTGATCAGGAATAGTGGAAACCGTGAGCACAATTTTGAGGTTTTAAAGGCCGGCATTGGAACTTTAGTCCCAGCTAAACAGCCAAATTCCCCAGTTAAATCCAGTGAGTTTTTGCACTGTATAGACTGTGGGGCATTGCTTAAGCGAAAGTCGCTGTGGAGGCATGTGGCCAGGTGCCGGCTTTCACAGAAAGATGCCCAGGCTAAACCAGGCTAAACCAGGTAGAAGTAGGGTCCAGTCCCTCTGCTCCCTAGCCCAGCCTGTACCGGAGGGCATCAGCAAAAAGCTGTGGTCTTTAATTTGGGCAATGCATCAGGATGAGGTCACGGGTGTTGTCAAAGCAGAAAAGGGGATTCTGAGACTCGGAGAGCACCTGTACTTAAAACACGGGCATGATAAGACTAAGCATGATTACATTAGGCAGAAAATGAGAGAAGTCGGTAGGTTAATTAACGAAGCAAAAACCGCAGGGAAACTGAAAACAATTAAGGATTTCTTTATTCCTTCCAACTTTAACCATGTGATTGATGCAGTCAGGTCTGTGGCTGGATATGATGAGGAAACAAATCAATACAAGACTCCATCCTTGGCCCTCAAACTCGGCCATAGCCTCAGAAAGCTAGCAGATATTCTTGAATGTGACTCAAAAATGGAGCATTGTGTTGATGAACTATTTATTAAAAACCTCCAACGAAGCCGGCTGCTTTTTGAGAAGAGGTGGGACGTCTGTGTTTCTTCTGCTGCCCTACAGACCCTCCGGCAAGCCAAGTGGAACACTCCGGACCTGCTCCCTCTGACTGAGGACGTTAGAGCCATGCATGCACATATTGAGGTATGTCGACCTGAATATGTGCAAACCCTAATAAGTGAGCCAACGTCTAAGCATTGGTCTAAACTGGCAGTTTTGACTCTTTGTGAGGTCATCATTTTCAATCGAAGAAGGGAAGGTGAGGTTTCAAAGATGCCACTGACAGCCTTTACCTTAAGAAGTAAGACTGGGATCCATTCTGACATTGCTCTGGGACTGTCCCAACTTGAGAAAAAGCTGTGTCAGCATTTTCAACGCATTGAAATTAAAGGGAAAAGAAGTCGGAAAGTGCCGGTTCTTTTGACTCCTGAAATGATTGCTTCGATGGAGGTGCTGGTGGAGAACAGAAGGGCCTGTTCCATCTCTGACCATAACCCATACTTCT